CACACACACACACACACACACACACACACACACACACACACACACACACACACACACCAGGCCTTTTCTAACAGCAGCTCTGAGGCAATCCTCTTTGTCTCTGAAGCTGTTTCTTGTGAAACTCTGTAAAAACCTTCAGGCAGACTAAACTCTGGTGTTCCCCCCCCCACAGACCGGCCCCTCCAACACCTCCAAAACCCCCCAGCTCCAAGCAGRAGCTGAACTTTCTCAATATGCTGCTGTTAATGAATTCATGTTTTCCCTTTTTGAAAATTTTTTTGTTCATGTGGATTCAGATGTTTTTTTTTTTATTTAAATTTGTTTATTTTATTTTACAAACTAAATATTTCTGCAGACTTTTTGTTTTGGTCGCTCATTTATTAAAACATTCAGCTTGATCCGGAGGAGCTGTGACTTTTTTGAACTTTAGTAAGTAAAGTTTTATTTATACAGCACCTTTCATAAAAAAAGATTCACAAGGTGCTGTACAATCAGAGGCAAATCAAAATATATACAATCAGAAAAGGATATACAGAAATTAGGAACAAAAAAGTATAAAAGCTGTACAACCATCAAAGTATCAAGATTGTACAATCTGAAAAATAAAACAAGTAAATAATATATAGACAAAAATGGGGAGGGCAGAGTAAAACATTAACATATTCAGATGAAGTGTTTTTAAATCAGAAGTTAATCTGGAGGCAGGTCTCTGAAAGGACAGATTGTGGAGTACTGGTACATTTTAGAAAAATACATTTTTGAGATGATTTTGGATGAAAATACTGTCTGTAACTTTAATACTTTTTTATTTAACTTTATTTACAAAGATTTTCTCAGAAAAAAACTAGAAATCTCTTCAGTTCCTTCAAAATCTTTTATTTCTGAAATCTGCATCTGTTTTTATCTTTTTATGCTACTTTTACCTAGCCTTTTGCTACTATTAGCTAACCTTTTCTGACTTTTTGGTTTTAGCTTGTCTTTTGCTACTATCAGCTAAATTCTTCTTACTTTTTGGTTCCAGGAGAGCTCAACCAGTCGATCGGGATCGACCGGTAGCTTGTCGGTTGGTTCCCAGTAGCTCACGGAGCACAACCTTCCTCTGACAGTTTGGCTCTAATACTGATTGAAGGAGGTAAAAAAACTGATCTTTTTTGTTCGAGCATCACTTTTCTGTTTCTCTGTCAGGAGTTAAATAAGGATTTTATCTTTTCTTTTTATTGTTGTAGGTAAATATATGGTTAAGTAGATAGTTTTGTTTGACAATACTTTAAATTAAAGGGATATTCAAGCCATTTGAAAGTGAAACAGTTAGTATCTTACCTGATGTAGATGGCTCGTTTGGAGACATCTACAGCAGGTGAGATATTATTTACACTGGCTGCAGAGTTCATTCAACACAAAATAAATAATTTCATCACATCATACAAGTTTTATTTTATTCACTACATCTTCAAAAACTCCTCAGCTGAGCTCTGAACAACCGTTTAACATCAGTCCACGTGTCCACTCGCTGAGACCACAGGTGTGCCCCCCKGCAGCCTGTCCTCAGCTGTCCCTCAGCAGACTGAGACAGGAGGACGGCAGGCTGGACAGACAGTCGGTGTTGGTGGTGACCTGCATGTCTCCAAACAGAACGTGGCTTCGGTTGCCGTCTGCGACGCCCGTCTCTTTTTTCAGGACCGCGAGTCTCTGGAGGATGACCTGGTGCTCATGGCCCCTCTGAAGACCCCTGAAGTACAGCAGAGCAACCAGATGCTTCCTGCTGCAGGAGGACAGGAGCAAAAAGACATTCGTCATGAGCTGAACACAGTTTGAACTCAGGCAGGTTTAATGTGGTAGTAGCTGAGAGTCATTCCTAACAGGTATTGTTTTTTTATATTATTTAGTATTTATTTTACAATACAACTTTATTTATAAAGCGCTTTAAAACAAACCCGTTGGCCAACGTGCTGTACATGATTAAAACACATAAAAATACACAAAACAAACAAAAAAAACATAAGTAAAATGAGCCAATATCTAATATCATAAAAACAAAAACCTCAAAAGCAACATCTCAAACTGAGTTAAAAACCAAGGAGAAAAAATGTGTTTTAAGAGCAGATTTAAAAGCAGGAAGTGAGTCAGCCTGTCTGATGTAAGGCAGCTCCTTCCACAGTTTAGGAGATGACCTCTCAGCCTCCTCTTAGACTTTGGGACGACCAACAGAGAGTGATCTGCTGACCTGAGGGCACGAGTGGGAGTGTAAGGTTGGAGCAGGTCAGAGAGATAAGTTGGGGCAAGACCAAGAAGACATTTAAAAGTAAACAGTAAAACCAGTGTTGTATAAAGTACCACAAAGTGATACTTGAGTAAAAGGACAAGTATCGTATCCAAAATTACTTTAGTAAAAGTTAAAGTCTCCTTTAGGAATACTACTTGAGTAAAAGTCTTAAAGTATGTGATATTTGTTGTAGTTAAGTATTAAAAGTCAAAGTATGGATTTAAAATGAGCAGTTAGATTTTCTGTAAGGACATTTATTAGGAGGTGACC